CGTAAACGTCTAATCTCCATGGCGTCGGCATCGGACGAGATAGGATATGCAATTAATGAGATAGGATATGCAATTAATGAGATAGGATATGCAATTAATGAGATAGGCGACAGCGCACCTGTCACACATTTTTCGTGCATAAAAACCCGGTGTTTTGTGTTGCTTTCAAATGAAACCAATTTTGCTAAGAGCACCTATAAGCAGCGATTCGTCACACTCCTAGAGGGGAACACGCCTTCTTCCTAGAGGGGAGATCAGTCCGGCATGGTTGAGGACCTCGTATCTCATTCTGTCGGTAGGCGGCGTCCGTTGAGCGTCAAAATAGGCGGGCGTTATAACATCCCGGGGAGGGGGGCACTAGCCTCGGAACTGGGTAGGGGGTGCCTCAGGAACCGGGAAAACCTGACCCTGTCGCAAAACGCTTTGCGCCCTAAAATACACCCTGTCCCAATATACTGCACTAACAAGAGCCGCAGAGTGTCTGGGCTCATCTGAGGTCTGTTGCTACGGTTATAAACGTAACATTTAAGTCGTGCGTAGTGACACCTTTGTTAGGCGCAGATATGCAGATACGCAGAACTTTGCGTACACATCATTTCAGCAACCTTCTGCATTCTGCATATCTCCCAAATCCCATTGGTTGATACAAATCGCATGCCTGAAACTCCTGTTTTATAGTGCATTGTGACCCTAACCCTAACCCTTTTTTTTTTTAAATTTAATTGTTGTAAAAATTATTTGTTCTGTTAAATTGTTGTAAATAAATCATGTAAATATTTGCGTTAATTGGGAAAAAATAGTTAAATGGATAAAGATAGAAAAATACAGAAAACAGGTAAATAATAAACAATCTGATGGGATTCGATCCAACGACCTTTGAGCCGTGACGCCTGAACTGTACCCGTTGGACTATCCAAGCTTATTGGTTTTCTAGATTATGGATGTGCCATAAATATGAGAACACTGTGACATCATTGAGGCAGTTCAGGAATCCATGTTTAACCCTCCTCTTGAGGGTCAAAAGGTTATCAGACACTTACTCTTCGCACGTGTCAGTGGAAAGCACATTTCATGGTCTTTTCAATAAAGTGATAAAAATGGTAGGTCAGCGCTGAAACAAAAAAGTTTTTCACTCTGTCCATTAGGCCATGTCCTCAGAAAATGTCTGATATCTGACCTTTCTCCCACTGCCCTTTTGACCTGTGACCTGCAATTTCGCACTGGTGATGGGTTTCCTGCCTATCACACTATACACCGAATATTAAGAGCATAGGTCGAGCCGTTAAGATTTGTGCCGCAATTCCTTATTACCTCCTATACCTTAAGTTAAGGGGGAAATATTCCCCCTCCGTTTACACATCTTGACCTTTGACCCTTGACCCCCCCAAATTTGTCATCCCGAGTTCTTTTCACGATCCCCCCCCCGTCGTCCCGAATATCGTGACCGTACGTCGGACGGACGGACGGACGGACGGACGGACGGACGGACGGACGGACGGACGCACGGACGCACGGACGGACGGACGGACGCACGGACGGACAATCATGCGATTCTACTAGCTGCATCTGACTACGTCCGTAAAAAGTATACCCTGTTGCAATATTGCACACTTCGGTTAGGTCCTGTCCAAATTTATTGTTCCACACACTATACAGTTATGGAAAATCGAGTCATACTATATATATGTTCAAATAACATTAGGTCACTACTGGGTCATGTCAACACGGCAACATGTAAGTAACCACATACGATACTCGTCCCACGTTATAAAATAATTGATAGGATAATAAAGAGTGGATATGTGAGGATATATTTATTAGTACGTATACCATTCAACGGCCATTAACAATCATAAACACACGATAATCAAAGCGTAACAACATACGATCACATAATTCAAAGATGATTTGAAAGTACCAAGAAGTTGATAAGTCATGTAATGTGATTGCTTGACGGCAGCATACAATTTACAACTCTAGTTCTATAACCTAGGCTATTTGTGATAAAAGGCCATATTATACGACAGTTTTAAGGAAACCTTTCCATTGTGCTATTCTATTAAAACTTAATTCAACGTGATTTATATGCTCTGGTACCAGGGTACGTTCCGGCGGTACCCTGGAGGACATAGACCTTCTCAGCCCAACTACTCCGTCTTGATCTTGATATGATACACCGACAGTAACCAATTCTGGCGATGACTGTCCATCATAAAAACAAGAAATTTGTGAATTGAAGCAAACGTCACACTAGCTACTGGCGACCTCTATTGCTCATGATTAATGTTACCAAAAATAAACCCCTATTTAATACCTAATATAATTTAACCCCTATTCCAATAATAATATCCTAATTTTATTGATATACTTTATGATAAATTGTACATCGTGCAATTTGTTGTTGCTTTTGTGGTTGTCATCACACCTGGCTCTCACAAGTTCCCATTTCCTTCTTCACTGCCATTCCTCCTGTCTTCTTAATCTCCTGTCTTTCTTGTCTCTCCTTTTCCTGCTTTCCTGCTTATTAGTGCTCATAGGGTCTATGTCCCTCAGGGTACTGCCGGAACGTACCCTGGTAACTATCTGATATGGTTAGGGTTAGGGTTAGGGTTAGGGAGTAGGCGTAGGCGACTCCCTAGACTCGTTAGTGGAGTAGGCGAGGTACGGTCTGGCATATTAGATAGTACCAGCGGAGCATATAAATCACGTTGATTTATATGCTCTGCTACCAAGGTACGTTCCGGTATACCGGACCGTACCCAGGGTACGTTCCGGCAGTACTCTGGGGGACATAGACCCTCTCAGCCTTATTAGTGTACGCATATTATATCTCGCTTGATATCTCTGAAAGGGCAAATACGTTAATCTCAACTCTACCAACCCCGCTGATCTGTTCAGATCAGATACGCGTCTGTTATATATTCATTTAATAACAGAAAAATCCCCGTGCAGTTCTCTCCTCACAAACTATCCGTGATGAATCGAACCCTGCAGTACGTAGTACGAAGTTAAGTATAATTATACAGCCGTTCGACACTGATTAATCGAAACGATACTCGTTAAATACACGTACTTGCTTAGTGAAATGAAATATGTCGTAGTTTCCTTTGGGGTCCCTGTCCGCAAAAATGCGTAAATACGGTAAACAAAGAAATTTAGCACTTTACTTTCGTATATGCTTTAGGTGTAGTTTTCGCTATAATCTATATATATAAAGTTGTTCAGCCGAATTAGTCCGTACTCGCATAAATAGAGAACTCCGCAGCCTAGAGGAAAACCAAAGATATTTTCAGAATCAGCACGTCTGGGAAGTGGTTCTGGCTGAAACAAAAATTTAAAAAAGTTAAAAAGCTAAAAATTGATAAAAAAATTATTCATCAATAGAAGGCAATTACGCAGATTAACATCACGTACGTGTGAATTCATGGTCTATACCCTTAACGGCGCAGTGGCATAATCGCTAGAACATCCGTCTCCTACACCGGGATTCCGGGTTCTAGTTCCAGCTGCGAAACTTATTTTCCCATTTTTTCTTTTTTTCCCTTTACCTACCTCTTTAGTATGTATTATTTTTAATTTATTTTATTTTTTTGATTTCTTATTATTTTTTACTGTTTGGGATGGGATGGCATGGGATGGCATGGGAGTTATAATTTTCCTTTCAACCAAGCGGTCACCAACTGAGTAACGCCACTGATTTCCCCGGGCAACACCGGGTATCCAGCTAGTACATAATAAAATAATATATTTGAGAGCACGTGGGTTCCTTTCTTCCTTCAGTAACTGATATCAAAACTGTGATCAATCCCGCAGCTAAATTTCTGCATGGTCATCAAAATTGGACATCATTACTTATTTTAACACCAAAAACGCGCGTCTTTTGCTACACGAACATGAAAATGAAAACTTTTAACTGCAAAAGGGGTTGTTTCTTGAGCTTTCCGCTTGGAACATATCAAATCTCATTAGTAGTATTTTCACGCTTAAAGCTTTGTAAAGCAAAGGTTCTGTTTAAAATACAAATAAGTTCATTTATTTAATAGATGTTGAATGAAATCGGTTTTTGTTTACAAGTGAAAAGATTAAACAGTATGTGCCGAAATGAATATTGTTATTTCGTTGGCTCTTAGAAGCCCTGGAAATATAGCGGAGGACAACCCCGCATAATTCATGGGTAAATATTTAATTTTAAATATTGTTTAATATAAAATTTTCTGATAAGAGCCCGAGTCCGTCATGATAACTAACTATAATAACTATACTATATTATATATATATTACAGTGGCAAATCCAGGATTTTGGAAAAGGTGTACAGCTGTTATTTAACTAATTTACGAACCGTGAAGGGAGAATGTAAGTGTATACTCCCCCAGACAACTAAATGAAATTTGAACACATTTATAGCCTCGATATCTGACTACAACAATTATCTTCAAACAACGATTATGCCTAATTTTGTGAGTGTGTGTGCGTGCGTGCGTGCGTGCGTGCGCGCGTGCGTGTGTGTGTGTGCGTGCGTGCGCGCGCGCGCGCGTGTGTGTGTGTACGTGTGTGTGCGCGCGAGCCTACGAGTTTGTGTGTTATGCGCGTGTGCACGCGCGGTCACGCACCACACACATCAGACACGCTCATGTAGATCGCACACATATAGCGCGCGCACACCCACATCACACACAACAGCACGCACGCGCGCGCACACACACACGCACACGCACATAGCGTAAATATCGAAATCAGCCAAGGGCTGTTGTTCACAAATGGTCACGGGTACGACCGAACAGCAACGGCAATTTACGGGAATGTAAATTATAGGCAAGCGCACAGAAAACTAGACTCAGAATATACAATGTCCAGCTATAGCATATAAAGGTCATGGACGTCTATTTCACACAAAACATCATGGGACGTGCACTAATCGTAGTAGATGGGCTATCCCGTCTATGCACTTCGATAATATACCGTTATATTGCCGACGTGTAAGGGCAAGTCACCCCTCTAGGCGCGTCACTCCCGAGTGAATCTCATGTCGTCTTAGCTTCCGTTCCAGTTAGTTTAGGCATTCAAGCATTCCTGAAGTCAGTGAAGTGACTAGCTCATATTATCCTTCACTGTGAGACCGACTAACACACAGAACCTGTCATTTTTACCGAGTTTGTAACATAAAGACCCGGGCGTGGCAAAGGGGACGCAGCAAATCGGAAGGTAAGCGACTACAGCGTTAAACGTGTTTCGGATGAAGAATCCTATACGTATAAAATATACATTCGGCGGAGTGATCCGATATGTTGTGAGTTTTTGTTGACGCTATTTGACCGTGTAACAATGACGTTTTAATGAATTTGTTTGAATTAACTTACATAGGTGCACGTGTAAGTTTCTGCACTAGGTGTTGGATTGTAACGATGTGGACTAACATCATAGCCGTGACGGTAGCCGTGGTGGGAGTTTTATACTGGAGATCACAGCGCGTGGAACAGTTTATCATACAGGAGAATCCCGATGAACGCTACGATTACGTCATAGGTACATAGATGCTAACGATAAACAAACCTTTTTTGAGCTAGCAGAGACGAGTATGGAACTGTAGTGCGTTCATCCTCCTTGAATATAAACATGTGCAGTCACACCATCTCTTATCAACAATTTAAAACGATTTTAGAAAAATAATATTTTTCAGAAATCCATTCGTTCACTCGCCCTATTATCCATTCAATCCCATCACACTTCACTCCACCCCATCCCATCCTAACCCATCCCACTCCATCTTATCCCATTTTTTCCATTCCATCTCATCTCATCTCATTCCATCCCATCCCATCCATCAATAACCAACCTTTTCCTGCCGCAGTGGGAGCGGGTAGCGCTGGGTGCGTATTGGCTGCTCGCCTCTCTGACGTCAGCAGCAACAAGGTGCTTCTACTGGAGGCAGGAGGCGACCCGTCTGGAAACGCACACGTCGCGGTGCCTGCCGCTGCCTTATCGCTGAGGAATTCCAAGCTAGACTGGAGCTTCCGGACCGTGCCACAGGAAAACTCCTGTCGCGCTCACGAAGGGAAGGCACGTGTAGCAGATTCTCGTGTTTCGCCGATTAACCTTTCCAGACTCTTTCTTGACCTCATAGTCAACTCGCCCTCTATTACAATCTTCCTTTTTATAGTATACGACACTATTGTCATTTTGATGTAAAATCGGTAAGCGTTAATATATATNTGCTCTGGTACCAGGGTACGTTCCGGTATACCGGACCGTACCCAGGGTACGTTCCGGCAGTACTCTGGGGGACATAGACCCTCTCAGCCTTATTAGTGTACGCATATTATATCTCGCTTGATATCTCTGAAAGGGCAAATACGTTAATCTCAACTCTACCAACCCCGCTGATCTGTTCAGATCAGATACGCGTCTGTTATATATTCATTTAATAACAAAAAAACTATTTAGAAAAATCCCCGTGCAGTTCTCTCCTCACAAACTATCCGTGATGAATCGAACCCTGCAGTATGTAGTACGAAGTTAAGTATAATTATACAGCCGTTCAACACTGATTAATCGAAACGATACTCGTTAAATACACGTACTTGCTTAGTGAAATGAAATATGTCGTAGTTTCCTTTGGTTTCCCTGTCCGCAAAAATGCGTAAATACGGTAAACAAAGAAATTTAGCACTTCACTTTCGTATATGCTTTAGGCGTAGTTTTCGCTATAATCTATAATTATATATAAAGTTGTTCAGCCGAATTAGTCCGTACTCGCATAAATAGAGAACTCCGCAGCTTAGAGGAAAACCAAAGATATTTTCAGAATCAGCACGTCTGGGAAGTGGTTCTGGCTGAAACAAAAATTTAAAAAAGTTAAAAAGCTAATAATTGATAAAAAAATTATTCATCAATAGAAGGCAATTACGCAGATTAACATCATGTACGTGTGAATCCATGGTCTATACCCTTAACGGCGCAGTGGCATAATCGCTAGAACATCCGTCTCCTACACCGGGATTCCGGGTTCTAGTTCCAGCTGCGAAACTTATTTTCCCCTTTTTTCTTTTTTTCCCTTTACCTACCTCTTTAGTATGTATTATTTTTAATTTTTAATATATTTTTAATTTATGAATTTATGAATTTTTTTTTAAATTTATTAATTATTTTTATTTTTAATGTATTTTATCTTTTGATTTCTTATTATTTTTTACTGTTTGGGATGGGATGGCATGGGATGGCATGGGATGGCATGGGAGTTATAATTTTCCTTTCAACCAAGCGGTCACCAACTGAGTAACGCCACTGATTTCCCCGGGCAACGCCGGGTATCCAGCTAGTATATAATAAAATAATATATTTGAGAGCACGTGGGTTCCTTTCTTCCTTCAGTAACTGATATCAAAACTGTGATCAATCCCGCAGCTAAATTTCTGCATGGTCATCAAAATTGGACATCATTACTTATTTTAACACTAAAAACGCGCGTCTTTTGCTACACGAACATGAGATTGAAAACTTTTAACTGCAAAAGGGGTTGTTTCTCGAGCTTTCCGCTTGGAACATATCAAATCTCATTAGTAGTATTTTCACGCTTAAAGCTTTGTAAAGCAAAGGTTCTGTTTAAAATACAAATAAGTTTATTTATTTAATAGATGTCGAATGAAATAGGTTTTTGTTTACAAGTGAAAAGATTAAACAGCATGTGCCGAAATGAATAGTGTTATTTCGTTGGCTCTTAGAAGCCCTGGAAATATAGCGGAGGACAACCCCGCATAATTCATGGGTAAATATTTAATTTTAAATATTGTTTAACTGATAAGAGCCCGAGTCCGTCATGATAACTAATTATAATAACTATACTATATTATATATATATTACAGTGGCAAATTCAGGATTTTGGAAAGGGTGTACAGCTGTTATTTGACTAATTTACGAACCGTGAAGGAAGAATGTAAGTGTATACTCCCCCAGACAACTAAATGAAATTTGAACACATTTATAACCTCGATATCTGACTACAACAATTATCTTCAAACAACGATTATGCCTAATTTTGTGAGTGTGGGTGCGTGCGTGCGTGCGTGCGTGCGTGCGTGCGTGTGTGTGTGTGTGTGTGCGTGTGTGCGTGCGTGCGTGCGTGCGCGCGCGCGCGCGCGTGTGTGTGTGTACGTGTGTGTGCGCGCGAGCCTACGAGTTTGTGTGTTATGCGCGTGTGCACGCGGTCACGCACCACACACATCAGACACGCTCATGTAGATCGCACACACATAGCGCGCGCACACCCACATCACACACAACAGCACGCACGCGCGCGCACACACACACGCACACGCACATAGCGTAAATATCTAAATCAGCCAAGGGCTGTTGTTCACAAATGGTCACGGGTACGACCGAACAGCAACGGCAATTTACGGGAATGTAATTTATAGGCAAGCGCACAGAAAACTAGGCTCAGAATATACAATGTCCAGCTATAGCATATAAAGGTCATGGACGTCTATTTCACACAAAACATCATGGGACGTGCACTAATCGTAGTAGATGGGCTATCCCGTCTATGCACTTCGATAATATACCGTTATATTGCCGACGTGTAAGGGCAAGTCACCCCTCTAGGCGCGTCACTCCCGAGTGAATCTTATGCCGTCTTAGCTTCCGTTCCAGTTAGTTTAGGCATTCAAGCATCCCTGAAGTCAGTGAAGTGACTAGCTCATATTATCCTTCACTGTGAGACCGACTAACACACAGAACCTGTCATTTTTACCGAGTTTGTAACATAAAGACACGGGCGTGGCAAAGGGGACGCAGCAAATCGGAAGGTAAGCGACTACAGCGTTAAACGTGTTTCGGATGAAGAATCCTATACGTATAAAATATACATTCGGCGGAGTGATCCGATATGTTGTGAGTTGTTGTTGACGCTATTTGACCGTGTAACAATGACGTTTTAATGAATTTGTTTGAATTAACTTACATAGGTGCACGTGTAAGTTTCTGCACTAGGTGTTGGATTGTAACGATGTGGACTAACATCATAGCCGTGACGGTAGCCGTGGTGGGAGTTTTATACTGGAGATCACAGCGCGTGGAACAGTTTATCATACAGGAGAATCCCGATGAACGCTACGATTACGTCATAGGTACATAGATGCTAACGATAAACAAACCTTTTTTGAGCTAGCAGAGACGAGTATGAAACTGTAGTGCGTTCATCCTCCTTGAATATAAACATGTGCAGTCACACCATCTCTTATCAACAATTTAAAAAGATTTTAGAAAAATAATATTTTTCAGAAATCCATTCGTTCACTCGCCCTATTATCCATTCAATCCCATCACACTTCACTCCACCCCATCCCAACCCATCCCACTCCATCTTATCCCATTTTTTCCATTCCATCCCATCCCATCTCATCTCATCTCATTCCATCCCATCCCATCCATCAATAACCAACCTTTTCCTGCCGCAGTGGGAGCGGGTAGCGCTGGCTGCGTATTGGCTGCTCGCCTCTCTGACGTCAGCAGCAACAAGGTGCTTCTACTGGAGGCAGGAGGCGACCCGTCTGGAAACGCACACGTCGCGGTGCCTGCCGCTGCCTTATCGCTGAGGAATTCCAAGCTAGACTGGAGCTTCCGGACCGTGCCACAGGAAAACTCCTGTCGCGCTCACGAAGGGAAGGCACGTGTAGCAGATTCTCGTGTTTCGCCGATTAACCTTTCCAGACTCTTTCTTGACCTCATACTCAACTCGCCCTCTATTACAATCTTCCTTTTTATAGTATACGACACTATTGTCATTTTGATGTAAAATCGGTAAGCGTTAATATATATATATATATATATATATATATATATCTTTGAGTTTTAATTTGATTAAAAATGATCATCATGACGTATATATTATACAGGGTTATATAGCGAGTCGTATAGGTGATCCGGCGAACTGGCCGGTCCAGGCCTTCGCTTGACAAATCTCTGTACATCCCTGTGGCGTCTCTGTCCGACTGTGTCATTCAGGCAGTGGAATACTATCCAGGTGCAAGGGCCCGCATCCCGTTTTTGGCCATGGGCCCGTCCTGCCCCTCAACGGCCCTGCTTATGTATAAAACTGTCTCGTGATGCAATCGCCTCGGGCTTCATGAAAAGCCATCAATCATCATCAGTATAGAGGGACGTTTGGTGAGCGCAATGTCCACGCAAGGTTTTAATCATTACAGAGAAGCATGTGGCCAAGAGGACGAATGCTTGGTGGGTCAAGTGGTATGAACAGCATGATGTATATACGCGGCAATAAGAGAGACTTCGACCTCTGGGAAAAGATGGGCGCAAAGGGATGGAGTTACGAAGATGTTTTACCATATTTCAAAAAATCCGAGGATAACCAGAACGAGGAATACGTGAAGAGTGGTGGGTGTGGTGAAAGTCGTTTGCGTATCAATAAGAATATGGGCTTTGAATTATCGATTTACTCCCATGACCAGACATCTTCAGGTTACTATAATTACATTTGAATCTTCCTTTGTTGATACTTCCAACCGTATGAATTTGTCCCCCTCCCATTTCTGTTTGTATACACGTAGATGTACAGTTAGAGTTGCTATTTAGTTTTCTGCTACAGGTTACCATGGATCGGGTGGACCATGGACAATCTCTGACGCTTCATACACAGAACTCGCAGATATTTTTTTAAATGCTGCAAAGGAACTTGGTTACAAGCTTGGAAACGTGAACGGAGAGAACCAAGAGGGTAACTGACTGTGAACTATACTTAGAGGCTGAAGTTTAAAACATTTATATGTGTTATAAAACATTATGAAACATTATAAGTTATGAGTTATAAAACACTTTCCATTCTTTAGAGGTGAAACACAGCGACGAAATGATTAATTAAAACATCGTAACATTAAAAATGACGTACTATCATTAAGCTATTAAAATTTACTGGTTCTCCATTTTCGGCAGTTTTTATGAAATCTCAAGGAAACATAAAAGACGGGAAACGTTGGAGCACAGCGGAGGCATATTTGAGACCTGCCATGCACCGACGAAACCTACACATAGCCATCAATACGCTTGTAACCAAGGTAACGCATCGGACAGGAGCCATTCATTAACCAACATATGAAATACAATATATTTATTAATTATTTTATTAATTATAATCCAACTTACTATAAATAATACAATATAGTATACACATACTACATTATTATATACCATATAATGTGCAAAATATTAATAGTGGCTGCAATATAGGGGGCCTACACGTTGTGTGGCTTTTTAGATAAACTTTGATGGTAAGAAGGCGACGGGAGTCACCTTTATTCACGGTGCTGAGAAGAAGACTGTTCACGTGTCAAAGGAAGTGATTCTCTCTGCTGGTAGCATTGGGTCTCCACACATCCTCATGTTGTCTGGTGTTGGACCAAAGGATCATCTTACCAAGTTCAACGTATGCGACCCATGTCTTATTTCTAATCGAAGTAATAGTTGGGAGTTAATGATGCATAGTTTCTCTATGATTAGCATATTTTACATGCCTTAATATCTGTATTTTTCGATTTCTCTTACCTCCCTGGTGTTTCTTTGAATTAGGTTTACGGTAGTAAAATTAAAAATTAATATATAACGAATAATAACTGTCATACGTAACTTCAAGAAATACCAGTTTTCTAACTTGCATGTCCAATAGATTCCCTAAACATTCTTTACGAACCGACACCCAAATTATTATTATTATTATTATTATTATTATTATTATTATTATTACAATTATTATCATTATTGTTCCATTTCTGGTTCAAATTGTTTATTCATCTATTAAATTTAAGATACCGACTGTGGTAGATTTGCCGGTCGGTCAACACTTACAAGAGCACCCTGGTGTTTTCTATCCTGAGTTCTGGATAGACAAGCCTCTATCAATAACTAAAGATATTCTGAACAGCTGGCAGGCCGCACTAAAGTATATGCTTTTTGGAAAAGGTAGGTTGCAACCTAGAATTCCTACGGGGAGCTTACCTGTAACAGGCGTTCACGCAGCAATACGCGCTTCACAAATACGCTAGCTATGTACGTCGCTTTCAAGATCTACAGTGTCATATCTATCTATCTTTCTCTCCCACCTCTATCCCCCTCTCTCTCTTATATATATATATATATATATATATATATATATATTGCAGGTCCACTCGCATATCACATGCTTGACGCAGTTGGTTTTGTCAAGACCAGAGCTGCTGATCCTAGGCTTGATCTGCCCGACATTGAGATACAATTCCTACCTTTTGGAATTGACTTTGAAACTGATGAAACTGTTTACAATCTAGTTGGCTTCACGAGAAACGTAGGTCCAATCAACGTTGTCATCTTCCATTAAACTACGCTAATATGTTTGCATTTAAGGTATCCGGCTTAATTCATTGTGGCTAATTATACGGAAGACTTAATTAATACAGATTCAGAAATTAATACGGATCTAAAATTTAGTAAAATCAACTAATGAACTTACGTGACGATATTGCAGTTATGCTGTTATTTTTTCGGCTATTATATATGTATATATTATATACACATAAGGAAAATTTAAAGATAAAAGATGAAAGCAAATGCAACCACGTGCGCACATTGATGCCCATTTCACACTTTCAGTTTATAAAAGCCTACAATTTTTCCGAGCACAAGTCTCGTCCAGTCATCTCGTTGATGGCATTTCTTCTTCATCCAAAGAGTGTCGGTCAGTTACGTCTGCAATCCCCGGACGCATTCGATCCACCTGAAATTGATCCCAACTACTTTGAAGACGACACCGATGTTAAATCGCTAGTAGAGGGTAAGATATAGGCATTTTATTCTCAAAGTGCGGTTGGCTAGCTGTGTCTTTGGCAGAGAAATGTATTTCTTACGGAGAAGTTAAACGGTTTATACGAGGAACGTATTTGGCCGTTTCTGCGTCTTAACCGAGCTGCCGTTCTTTTCTTGACGTCACTACGTTTCTTTTTATTCATCCGAGCACGAGAAATGTAGCTATTCGTAATTTTCTTTGCGATTGAGGGAACACCGATGACATACGTGCCGATGGCCTGTAGCATTACACATGAAGTTGCCGAATATTTTAACGATTAGGGCCTATTTGTACCGTCGCGATTTTTTGCCTAGTGTGACGCACGATTCCCTGTTAGAAATTACCGTTAGCACGAACACTTATTCTTTTTTTTACTATGAAATTCGTTTCGACCCGATTTTACACGGTTTCCTAACCCTTCTCGTTTTAACTTTTTTAATACTTTAATCGACGAATTTCATCGAGAATCGAGAAATAACTGCTGAGAACATGAAAAAATGATTAAATATTGACTACGAACTGAGGTTTAGGGTACCGCATCAGGCATCCTCCTGTAACTATTGTATTTTCGTGTGATGGCTCTTACACACATATCCTCATGACGAGAACCGATCACCTCATTAAATCTATGAATAAAGGATGACCGCAAAGGGCGCCACCACTGCCCTCTATCGTCCTCACGTCGACCGTTTTCTCCGGGGCCCATTTCATATATTTTCAAACCGAATTTGACCCTATATCATAATTTTTACGATCTCTTCTTAAGGCATAAAGATCACCGTCAAGTTTGCCGAAACCAAGGCGTTCCAAGCTATCGGCGCCAAGCTACGAGATCAGATCGTACCGGGATGCGAGAAGCATGCATACAAATCGGACAGCTACTGGGACTGCGCCGTGAGAACAGTAACAGCGACCATATACCACCCGACAGGAACGTGTAAGATGGGAGCAGCCAATGACCAAACCGCAGTTGTTGACCCACAACTCCGGTACGTGAACACGTGAACACGCTGACAGAAGATGTCACCACCACTCCCGTCCTTTTACCGATTTCACATCAATCCTTTTTTCATGGGTCAAGGAATTATTTTGATATCAAAAGCGATCGCATCATAGTTTTCACGATTCCCCCTCAAGGCATAATATATGAACAACATTAACAGCTATCATACCTGATCGTTCCTATCGTAGCGTGTTTGATGTGAACTTTCTAGGTGTCTTCTGACCTTTGATTCTCACCTTTCAGGGTTCGTGGACTCCGTGGTCTGAGAGTGGTCGATGCTTCTATAATGCCTGAGATAGTGTCCGGAAATATTCAGGCAGCTACGGTGATGGTGGCAGAGAAGGCAGCGGACATGATTCTATTGGGAGCATGATTAACTATACATATCATAATACCATTAATATTATGTAAACTGTTAAAATATACTAATACATTCTTTCATGATATCATATCCTACGGCTACACACGTGTGCATCGTTTACCTACACGTTGCGCATTATTATTATTATTATTATTATTATTATATAAACAAGTACATTACAGATCAACAACAACAACAACAACAGCAGCAGCAGCACCAACAACAACAACAACAACAACAACAACGACGACGACGACGATGACAACGACGCCGACAATAATAATAATAATAATAATAATAATAATAATAACACCAACAATAATAATATTGTGCAAGATGTCATTGCTAATTTTGCGATTGTGAACGGAAGAGCGTAAGTGAAACAACTAAAAATTACATAGACAATACACATGTCGTTTCAAAGCGTCACACGTTTCTAGGATAGCAAGAATAACTCCAAAGCGGAAGGGGTTAGCTATAATCAGCATGTCACGAGGTTTCTGCTAAGCCACCTGCCCATTTCACCACCCTCCTCCCCTCTCTCACACATAGGAGGACAAGTATCTGATAAGGCAGGAGAGCAGACACCGAAAGAGAAGAGATTCTAGACAGAGAAGTCGTGAGGCTAGATGGCGTCGAGACTATGTATGAAATAGAAGGATAGGAGATAGATTGATCAACGCAGTGAACACACACGCGCGCACGCACGCACACACACACAAACACACACACACACGAGCACGCACACACACACAGACACGCGCGCACGCACGCACGCACGCACGCATACACACATAGTAGATTACAGACGCGAAATTTCTCTCTTTATTATATTTTTATTCCCCATCCCCTCTCTCCCCATTAGGTTTTTTATATTCCTGTCTTTCTTTACGCTCCCTATTTCGCTTTCTTCCATTCAGCCCTTCTCACGATCTGCCCCCTTTCTTACTCTCTCCTCTTACGTCCTCGCAATCACTCTCTCATCACGGGCGTATTCTCTCTCTTTCTCTCTCTTCTCTCTCTCCTCTTTCCGCCACTCTTCTCTGTTTTTGTACCTTTTCTTGTCCTCCCCGTGGCTCATGGTGGTATCGCCCACGACATCAACAGCACGGTAGACTACCACCAGTTGGCTGTGTTTGTGTTTGCGTGACTGTAAACGAGCGTTCCATAGCAGTTATGCATTATTTCGCGCATCACGCACGCTAAAAATTGTTGCTAAAAACGGCTTCCCACCTGATGCTATCTATGTTGGGGACGATACCATCCGCGAAAGGAAGGAGGGAGAGACAGAGATGTATGGGGTGGCGGGAGGAGGGAGAGAAAGAGATGTATGGGATGGAGGGAAAATGGAGTAATCGTGGAGGGAATCCTCAACGCCCGTGATGCAAAGAAATGTGGACCTGCGGCTATAATACGCGTTTACAGTCGCACAAACACAACAAACGCACACGCACACGCAGACAATCCGTCCCTCCCAGGGGCGGCGCCACTGGGGGGCAGGGGGGGGCGGTCGCCCCCCTATCATTTGCAAGGAAAAGAAAAANATATATATAAATATATTGCAGGTCCACTCGCATATCACATGCTTGACGCAGTTGGTTTTGTCAAGACAAGAGCTGCTGATCCTAGGCTTGATCTGCCCGACATTGAGATACAGTTCCTACCTTTTGGAATTGGCTTTGTAACTGATGAAACTGTTTACAATCTAGTTGGCTTCACGAGAAACGTAGGTCCAATCAACGTTGTCATCTTCCATTAAACTACGCTAATATGTTTGCATTTAAGTATCCGGCTTAATTCAATGTGGCTAATTATACGGAAGACAATGAATACAGATTCAGAAATTAATACGGATCTAAAATTTAGTAAAATCAACTAATGAACTTACGTGACGATATTGCAGTTATGCTGTTATTTTTTCGACTATTATATATGTATATATTATGTACACATAAGGAAAATATAAAGATAAAAGATGAAAGCAAATGCAACCACGTGCGCACATTGATGCCCGTTTTACACTTTCAGTTTATAAAAGCCTACAATTTTTCCGAGCACAAGTCTCGTCCAGTCATCTCGTGGATGGCATGTCTTCTTCATCCAAAGAGTGTCGGTCAGTTACGTCTGCAATCCCCGGACGCATTCGATCCACTTGAAATTGATCCCAACTACTTTGAAGACGATACCGATGTTAAATCGCTAGTAGAGGGTAAGATATAGGCATTTTATTCTCAAAGTGCGGTTGGCTAGCTGTGTCTTTGGCAGAGAAATGTATTTCTTACGGAGAAGTTAAACGGTTTATACGAGGAACGTATTTGGCCGTTTCTGCGTCTTAACCGAGTTGCCGTTCTTTTCTTGACGTCACTACGTTTCTTTTTATTCATCACAGCACGAGAAATGTAGCTATTCGTAATTTTCTTTGCGATTGAGGAAACACCGATGACATACGTGCCGATGGCTTGTAGCATTTCACATGAAGTTGCCGAATATTTTAACGATTAGGGCCTATTTGTACCGTCGCGATTTTTTGCCTAGTGTGACGCACGATTCCCTGTTAGAAGTTACCGTTAGCACGAACACTTATTCTTTTTTTTACTATGAAATTCGTTTCGACCCGATTTTACACGGTTTCCTAACCCTTCTCGTTTTAACTTTTTTAATACTAACGAATTTCATCGAGAATCGAGAAATAACTGCTGAGAACATGAAAAAATGATTAAATATTGACTACGAACTGAGGTTTAGGGTACCGCATCAGGCATCCTCCTGTAACTATTGTATTTTCGTGTGATGGCTCTTACACACATATCCTCATGACGAGAACCGATCACCTCATTGACTCTATGAATAAAGGATGACCGCAGAGGGCGCCACCACTGCCCTTTATCGTCCTCACGTCGACCGTTTTCTCCGGGGCCCATTTCATATATTTTCAAACCGAATTTGACCGTATATCATAATTTTCACGATCTCTTCTTAAGGCATAAAGATCACCGTCAAGTTTGCCGAAACCAAGGCGTTCCAAGCTATCGGCGCCAAGCTACGAGATCAGATCGTACCGGGATGCGAGAAGCATGCATACAAATCTGACAGCTACTGGGACTGCACGGTGAGAACAGTAACAGCGACCATATACCACCCGACAGGAACGTGTAAGATGGGAGCAGCCAATGACCAAACCGCAGTTGTTGACCCACAACTCCGGTACGTGAACACGTGAACACGCTGACAGAAGATGTCACCACCACTCCCGTCCTTTTACCGATTTCACATCAATCCTTTTTTCATGGGTCAAGTAATTATTTTGATATCAAAAGCGATCGCATCATAGTTTTCACGATTTCCCCTCAAGGCATAATATATGAACAACATTAACAGCTATCATACCTGATCGTTCCTATCGTAGCGTGTTTGATGTGACCTTTCTAGGTGTCTTCTAACCTTTGATTCTCACCTTTCAGGGTTCGTGGACTCCGTGGTCTGAGAGTGGTCGATGCTTCTATAATGCCTGAGATAGTGTCCGGAAATACTCAGGCAGCTACGGTGATGGTGGCAGAGAAGGCAGCGGACATGATTCTATTGGGAGCATGATTAACTACATAACATAATACCATTAATATTATGTAAACTGTTAAAATATACTAATACATTCTTTCATGATATCATTATCATATCCTACGGCTACAAACGTGTGCATCGTTTACCTACACGTTGCGCATTATTATTATTATTATTATTATTATTATTATTATATAAACACGTACATTACAGATCAACAACAACAACAGCAGCAGCAGCACCACCACCACCACCACCACCAACAACAACAACAGCAACAACAACAACAACAACGACGACGATGACAACGACGCCGACAATAATAATAATAATAATAATAACACCAACAATAATAATATTGTGCAAGATGTCATTGCTAATTTTGCGATTGTAAACGGAAGAGCGTAAGTGAAACAACTAAAAATTACATAGACAATACACATGAATTATGTAATATTTTAGAATAATTTAAACGTTTCAAAGCGTCACACGTTTTTAGGATAGCAAGAATAACTCCAAAGCGGAAGGTGTTAGCTATAATCAGCATGTCACCAAGTTTCTGCTAAGCCACCTGCCCATTTCTCCACCCTCCTCCTCTCTCACACAAATATCTGATAAGGCAGGAGAGCAGACCCCCGAAAGAGAAGAGATTCTAGACGGAGAAGTCGCGAGGCTAGATGGAGTCGAGAATATGTATGAAATGGAAGGATAGGAGATAGATTGATCAACGCAGTGAACACACGCACGCGCACACACACGCGCGCGCACGCACACACAAACACGCACGCACACACACACACACACAGACACGCCCGCACGCACGTACGCATACACACATAGTAGATTACAGACGGGAAATTTCTCTTTATTATATTTTTATTCCCCATTACTCTTTTTATATTCCTGTCTTTCTTTACGCTCCCTATTTCGCTTTCTTCCATTCAGCCCTTCTCACGATCTGCCCCCTTTCTTACTCTCTCCTCTTACGTCCTCGCAATCACTCTCTCATCACGGGCGTATTCTCTCTCTTTCTCTCTCTCTCTCTCTCCCTTCTCTCTCTCCTCTTTCCGCCACTCTTCTCTGTTTTTGTACCTTTTCTTGTCCTCCCCGTGGCTCATGGTGGTATCGCCCACGACGTCAACAGCACGGTAGACTACCACCAGTTGGCTGTGTTTGTGTTTGCGTGACTGTAATGCCCCAGTCACACATACACGACGCACGGCCCGCGCACTGAAAATTAATCAAAACATGGAAAATAGATCAGTGCGTCGTTGTGCGCCCAACTTTTGTCAGGATTTGGGAGAAGCTAGCGAGTTGACAACGAATGCACAGCGTGTTGCTAGCGCGCTGCGCGCATACAGGGCGCATACAGAGCGTATACAGGGCGCATACAGAGCGTATACAGGGCGCACATGTTAAAAAATCCAACGAATGCACAGCGTGTTGCTAGCGCGCTGCGCGTATACAGGGCGCACATGTTAAAAAATCCAACGAATGCACAGCGTGTTGCTAGCGCACGGAACGAATGGTCCGCGCATGCACCGCGCATGCACCGCGCATTCAACGCACAGCCAGCGCACAGCCAACGCACAGCCAACGCACAGGTCACTTCTGGGATGAGCAGAGATATGGTGTTGTGAGGCACCCTCCACTCATAGGACATTGAGTGATATTTGGTCCCAGAGGCAAGATGCCGCAGATTGAGGAAAAGCTTCAGGCCAGGGTCGAGGGCCTCTCTGTAGGTTGTATTCTGCTTGGTGATCCTCGGACCCACTCTGGTTAGCAGCTCATCGAACATCTCGGGGGGCATCCGCATGAAGTTCTTGAAGGCTGCCTGGTCTTCGTTACGGAGTTCAACAAGTAGCTGGTCATACAGGCCAAACTGTCGTCGCCTACCGATCCACGGTAGGACCCAGAACCTCAGTTGACCTCTTCTCTTTCTCCTTCTGATGACATGGACTTGGTGAAGTGCCAGTTCCATGAGGTTCTGCTGATGTTGTAGAACCGCGATTTCGTATTGTAGTCGCAGCCTGTCGGGATCCTCCATCTTCTGAGGTGGTTCTTCTAGACACGATCAGCAGGAATCTCTGTCATCACCTATGAGGGTCGGAGGAGAAGTGATGATGAGGAGGTGGGCGGGACCCGTTTATATACCCCATGGCTACACGCTGCGTACACGCTAGGAACACGCTAGAAGAACGCTGGGCGCGCTACAGACTCGTTCAGCACTCGTTCAGCACGCCCATAATCGCTGCATGTTCGCTGGACATGCGTTAGAAGCACGCTAGGTGTGCGCTAGGTGTGCGCTAGGTGTTCGCTACACCTCAGCCGACGAACATACAACGAATACCCATCGTGTGCTCCGCGTGGGTCTGGCGTTGGTCCAGCGCGCTCTGCGCGTGTCTGGCGTCCTTCTGGCGTGTACCTTCATGCGTCGAGCTCCGCGCACAATTTTGAGCATGCTCAAAAATCCCGACGCACACGCCGCGCACGAGCGAATGACAACGAATACATAGCGTTGGTCCAGCGCGCTCGACGAACGAGTAACGAATGCTGACGCACACCTAGCGAACGACAACGCACTGGCCAAAATTGCTGATTTTTCAGTGCGCGGGCCGTGCGTCGTGTATGTGTGACTGGGGCATAAACGAGCGTTCCATAGCAGTTATGCAGTATTTCGCGCATCACGGACGCTAAAAATTGTTGCTAAAAACGGCTTCCCACCTGATGCTATCTATGTTGGGTACGATACCATCCGCGAAATGAAGGAGGGGGAGAAAGAGATGTATGGGGTGGCGGGAGGAGGGAGAGAAAGAGATGTATGGGATGGAGGGAAAAGGGAGTAATCGTGGAGGGAATCCTCAACGCCCGTGATGCAAAGAAATGTGGACCTGCGGCTATAATACGCGTTTACAGTCGCACAAACACAACAAACGCACACGCACACGCAGACAATCCGTCCCTCTAATAATCTATATTGTAGTCGATAACCCGAATATATCGAACTTGTAACTTACGTTCCTTTTCATTCGCGGATGGACATAGTTCGGTAAATACACAACAGACCAACATATATAACACAAACAGGCAAGTTGGCGTTGTCGTGTGTAGGAATGGCATATATGTCATGTGCTTACTCAACATGATCACATCTCGCGAGAAAGAGGTCAGCCATGTCGTGCTGAAAACGTTTATAAATTGAGTTGCTGCAGCTGTAAACGATCGGTTTATATATGTGCCCGTATGATTCGTTTTCCACGATCCGTGGAGAGGCGATATCACATTTTATTATAGCCGCTATAGGCATACAACTTCTACAAGATTTACCACGACCAAATTCAAATCGGTATCCCCTCTTGCTTGATGAAATCATCTCGTTGTATCTGCCTCTGGTCGGCCCCGCACCCCATCATCGTTACAGTCCCTTGCACTGTGAAGAGTTACCATTACGAGTTTACGAGATTACAGCGTATATATATAACGAAATTTATATCTTTGGATAAAGCTAAGGCTAGGTAACCTCAACGATTTTACTGTGTATGGACAAATTCCCGAAAATTCCCTTCAACGCACTAATGATACAAGGTAATTAATAAACAAGGCAAAGCAAAAATTACCTCCGTTTAGTAACCCGGATCGTATAAATCTTTATTTTCGTCTTTTACACATTTCTTTGTTATTTAAATTCATTCATTACGAGAATTATGTACAACCTTACTGTATTCATATGTCTATGTACATACATTGCACACATAAAAGTAACGTTACATAATATCTCACAAATGTTAGCAGAGCGCATGCATGGCCAACCACGAAACGAACTCGCACTGGTTACGAATTTTTAGTGTAGGATTGAACTACTCGAAGTGGGATTAAATGGAAAGGAATTGCCATTCTGGGTTGACGGATAGACTCCGCCGTAGATACAAAGCAGCTGGACCGCACAAACGTAACCGCCTCGCGTACACAACATGCAAAGATAGATAGATAGGACGAAGAACGAATAGTTAGTTATTCATCGATCAGTTAACCTGATAGTTACATCACATATCAGACAACATCTACACCGCGCCCTAACAAAATCTTCTCCTGATGAGTATTTTACTTTGCTACAGTCGTCAACACGCGCGCACACACAACTCACCTCGGTTATGTCTTTGTCCTGCCTGGGACTTATTTCTCAAGTCAGACCTTGCGACACACGATAAAATCCTACTAGTGACGGCATAACTAAAATCTGAATAAAAACGCGCTGCCCCGAAGCCCAACCCGCCGCCACATTAATGCCTACATAGTTTAAAAAATGGACACCAAAACCATGGACACCATTAGATGAAAAAAATATAAAACAGACCCGAGTTTCTACAAGGTGGCGCACAGTTATGTGACTTCAAGCAATCAATCAGACTGTGGAAGACAGACAATCATAAATAAATTCACAGCAATAATGTGATAGAAAGTTTATCTATGTATCTCAACGAATCTAACCAATAAAAAAGTTTCGCACAGAAATGACCACGCTGGATCCTGTCTGATAATATTCTAAATAAAAGATTTCAACAGTACTGAGTGACAGAAACACTAGTCACAGGTCGCACAGTATATTTGGTCTAATGTTGCTCAAATTCAATTGCTCAAGTTCCTAAAAATATTTAAAATTATATAACAGTATGGCACCAATCATTTTATCATCGTGCATACCAAACTAAACACCATGACAACAATTTAATTTTCGAAAAACCTTTAAAATGTTAGGGGACAGAAAGGCAGCTGCAATGGCAATGCAATCATGTGATAGACCAAGGCGGTATCAAGAGCATATTAAGAAGGCTTTCTTAATACGCTCTTGATCTTATGTGATACATAGATGATGTTACGGCCGAATTTTGTTTATTATAAATTCATTGTGACTGTATGGTGCTGCCACTACACAAACAAACCAAAACAAACTAACTAACAAAAAACAACAACTAAACAAACAGTGTAGTTTGTTGAAAAGACGCGTAACGAGTGGCTTACGAGCATGTGCGTTAAGCACTTCCTGGAAGCCAGTCAGGCAGGTACACGCGACAACCACAAACCACGTATCAGTGTGCGAGACATGTTCTTTGTTAAGACAACGATGTTTACGTAGACAGTAGACACCCAGACATCTCAGCGATTAAAAACCACACATAACCACACAACCACAATAAAGAACGAATGTAAATAAGACAATGGGTGCGTATTTCCCGCTGAATCATTTTTTTTAAATTGACACATCGAACACTCAACGACAGACAACGTAACCGGACGGCTACAGATGAATACAGTGATTGAGCAAAATATATAAACTGTACATAGGGTACAAACTATAAAATGTAGCCTCATATGTAATACCGTTCACCTTAAAATATGGTATAAAATTATTTAATTTAAATCAACCCCCGCCCCCGCCACACACACAACACACCTGCACATTCAAGAACATATTTATATAATATTATATGCGTTGTATTTTATGTCTACAGAAGTGATTAATGACCAGACGTCCATCACCCCAATCATGCATTTGATGGCGATTAATGATTGCACGACAGTAATTGTGACGATTACACTGACAGTGCATGATCAGTTATTTAATGTAAACCATGATAAATAAAGTTCTACAGTTGTTCACTGGACACACGCACACACACACGCACGCACGCACGCACGCACGCGCGCACACATACACACACACACACACACAGCAACAACAACAACAACAACAACACACACACACAAACACGCACGCACGCACGCACGCACGCACGCACGCACACACACACACACACACACACACACACACACTACGATCAACAGTGTGAGAGATGGGAAGAGGTCAGTAAAGCACCAAACAACCATCTTTCAAGTGACCATTGAAACAATTCACTCTTACCTAAATGCAAGGCAACATTCCCTTGCAACATTCCCATACTCTGCGCACATCAAGTCAACACTTAGCACGAGATCCCATCATTTGGTCTACACTTACTTTATGATGCATGTACCTCAGGTCGCTCCAAATCTTCAGATGACAATCATTAAATATCAGTGTAAATTTCAAGTGCACATATAAATGTAATTTTACAAAATTTGCTAATACCTTCGTACTGCCAAATATAATTTCTGATCGTGATACCGGCCTTCACGTGTTCACAATCACAATGAACATATCTATACTACATATATAGTGAAATATATTTGAGATTTTTACCATAAATATATATAATATAGTAATAATCCTAAATAGATTTCACTCTCCCAACGCTATTAGGCATTTGCGTAGGCAACCAACCCTGCGCACCAACTGATGCACGTGTGAAATTCTCCGGTTCTTCTTTCTTACATCCCTGCTGAAATCATTCCATAAAAAAATCTATATAAAAATTTACAATCTCATAGAATCAGTTTTGCGGGGAATCGACCCTCCTTCCATGCATGTCCTCCTCTATCTCATGTCTCCATCTGCACCTCCGTCTAGCGATATTAGTATAATAGGACAAACAATATCGCTGACGTTGTTGGTGGCTCAAGACAGAGGCTGCGTGAGCAAAATAGCAGGGGGTGTCCAATCCTTGAAGGTAGAAACTGTAGGAAGCACCACATCAGTTGACCGCATGCTGCATTGCCTATATTCCATCTCCGCAACATTGGCAGTCTTCCCGATCCACAGGCAATCGAAACGTCATCGAAAGCATTCCGCGTCATCTGCAAGCATTCTGTGACATCTACAAGCATTCTGTGTCATCTGCAATCATTCTGTGCCATCTACAAGCATTCTGTCTCATCCGCAAGCATTCTGTGGCATTCCGTGTGACAAACAAGCATTTAATGTCGGCCACACTGCGTATCATGTCTTTCACCTGCGAGCCTGCTCCAATTCACCTTTGGTGTGTCGGATTATCCCGTGCTGTCTGCAAGCGTTCCATGCCTCCTCCAGCATTCCGTGTCACTGCCTCCAGCATTCTGTATCATCTGCAAGCATTCCGTGCCATGTCCAGCATTCCGTGTTCGGCGTCGCCTTGAGTTGCGTTGCGAATGAGAGCCTCACATCCTCTTCTGCCGCGGCTGCCGTGTGATCTCCGCACTTCTAGTGCAGCAGCACCCTCTGGTGAGAAAACACCCCCGCAGGTGCCTCCCAGCACGTGAGCGACCCCCACGCCCCGTCAGCGGCGCCCCCTGGTGGACGAACACCCCCCCGCGGTGGGGAGCGACCCCCACGCCCCGTCAGCGGCGCCCTCTGGTGGACGAACACCTCCCGCGGTGGGGAGCGACCCCCACGCTCCGTCGGCAGTGCCCTGCGGTGGACGAACACCCCCCGCGGTGGGGACGACCCCCCCGCTCCGTCGGCAGCGCCCTGCGGTGGACGAACACCTCCCGCGGTGGGGAGCGACCCCCACGCTCCGTCGGCAGCGCCCTCCAGTGGACGAACACCCACGCGGTTAGGCGCGCCCTCTGGTGGACGAACACCCCCGCAGTTAGGCGCGGCCACCAAACCTCCGCGTGACTCACTCCCCCCTACCGTCACCGCCGCCGCCGCCGCCGTCGTCGTCATCGTACGTCGGCATCTTGACGATGTCGACGATGTCCTCGACCTTGAAGGACGGGTAGAGTCCCTGCTGGCCCGTGTTGCGGTTCAGCCCCTTCGAGAAGCCGTCCCAGTGGTTGCCGGCAATGCCGACGACGTCGCCGACGTTGATGTCGATCTCCTGCACGCTGCTCTTCTCGTGTTTATAGAGGGCGCGCTGGTTGTGCGCGTGCTGGCCGCCGAAGTAGTAGATGTCGTCGAGCGATCGGAACCACGCAGATGCGTCCGGGTGGATCGTGTTGAGCATCTCGTAGGCTAGCCGACAGACCTGCGGGAAAGGGGGAAGGAGAGGGATATACAGTCCGACCTCGTCTATCCGGCCACCAGTTATCCGAAAACCTCTGTTAACCGGCCGCGATCTCGCAGTGTATGTTCTGTTTTTTCATTCATTTCCACCTAAAAATCTCGCTCAAAACT